GGTGTGGCTTTACGGGTCTCAGTAGTATTCTTGTCACAAGCTGTTTGAGAAACCCCCGGTCCTTTCCGTCATGTATTCAGAGTATCGGAGAACGCGTCTTCTCGAGGAACAAACGTGTTGCCTGGCGCAGGCGTCAGGCTGCAGAGGCGCTCTGTTGGGCTGCCATGTGTCTGTAAGCACCTGGTGAGGTGGAACCCGCCGGGGAAAATCGTGCGAATCTCCCCGTGAGCTTGTTTGCCAGTCGGGCCGCGCTACCTAGAGGGTCATAGCGGTTCCTGCCTTTCTGTCAACAGCTGGGGGTAAGGAGAGCAGTATTTGCAGGATGATAGCTTCTGCTGATGACATTGGCATGTGTGCGGACTGCCTGGGAGAAGTTTTGCTTCTACAGGTTAAGGTTTTTGGTAGGGATGTTTAAAGGCAGAGTGATGGTACTTGAACTCCTGAGCTACATGAAGTCTTTTTAGGGGAGTGGGTGGCTGAGCAGTCTTCCGAACAACAGCTGTTTTAAGATTGGAGCCCACATAATGTGTGAGATACCTGATGGCAAATTGTGAGAGTTGGGATTTGCTCTAACGACATTCACAAATTCATTCTTTCTCACATCAGCGTTCCGTGGTGGGATGTGCACATGGCTGTGCACAATAGCTGTGGTGACCCAGGTTTTTCCAGTCATCTCTTCTGTTGTGTAAATTGTAGAGACAATCCTTAGTGGCTGACCTTGATGCTGAGTTGTGGACCACCACCATATACTAAATACAGAGGTACCACACACGGGCTTTCTTACACAGTGTCTTTCTACCTGGAAGTCTTGTCAGAATAGAACTCGGCCAAGTGCCCAGGACTTTTACTAACACAGAATTTTTATCTAAACTTCATAAATACAAATTTAATATTGTTTTGATATTACTGCTTAACATCACAAACTATTTGCAGAACAGTTTCAGTGAATTTAATATAACTGAATCACTAAGTTACTGGCATGACCAAGATCACACAGGTAGAATTTCTCCCTTGCAGGCCTTGATAACAACAGCTTTTAAAAACCTTAAATTTAAAAATATTGATACGTGGTGTTTTGGTTTCAAAACGTATTTATAGATAACTGACTTTATAGGTGGTACATGTATCATGGGGGATTACTCCTCCCCCTCCCCCCCCCCGGTTCTTTCAGGTAATAACAATCCCCAGAAAGATGTACATGCCATTTCTGACACTGTCTCTTTCTCAGAAACAAGCTATGAAGTAAACAGATGTGAATCAGAACATTTTTATTATTCTGTGTGAATTTGTATACAAGCATTCTTTCTCCTTACTGAGGCAGAGGGAAGATTCAGATTTCTTAAAAAGCACGTGGGAGATGGTTTGTCAGCATACAAAGGAGAGCTGTGACTTAAATAAGCATCAAATAAAAAATTAATGTGAAGACTGCATTCTAAGGAAGAAAATATGAAGTCATACAGGTGTGTGATCTGAAGCTTTGTGAGAACTGATTCAAGGATCCTGAAGCTGACTCTAATATTGAAAGCATTTTATACATGTTAGTGATGTTGTTGCAGTAGTTACCCCTAAGTTGGGAAGTCAGTTTGGTAGGGCTTAGGTCCTTTCTTATTTCTGCAACGTGGAGCATGTGTGGGAACAGAGATGGAGCATGAAATGCAAAATTCAATTTGACTTGTATTGTGTCTTGAACTTCTTGAAAATGTGTACTCTGCCCTCAGGAAGCAAAACAACTGAAGTCAGTTAAGAAGGAAGATTTGATAAATTTTATGTGAATAAATCCAAATAGATTTCCAGATCTTGCTGATTTATTTAAAGGGACATTTATGACTTTCACGAGTTGATGGTAAACCTCCACTTACACTGAACCAGAATTTAGTTTCACTCTTGGCTCTAAACAAGCAAAAATACTGAGATGTGTTAGGAATGAATGGAAATGTTTTGTTCGTTGTTGGGTACACAAAACAAATAAGAGATTTCCTCATTTTCAGTACTGTTTGTACATTCTGAGCAACACTAACCAAACCATGTGTAGCTACAGGAGCTGTGCCATCTCCTGCACTGTAATTCTCTTTCAAGTAAAGGTGTGTGTCCCAAAGGCAGTCTATTTTTTCTGCATATTATGTACAGGTTCTCTTGCTCTACTTTTTTTTTTTTTTTGATGATGCTGTGAGTTGTCCCACTGAAGTTGATAGGAGCAGTAAGAAACTTACTACTCAGTATCAGGATTTTGTGACCCCCATACATGAGCCCTCAGACTGCACTGTGGGACCCTTTGTGCCCCAAGCACTGGAAATCTTGGGGGGGAATGTGTGTGAGGTGAGGGAGCACAGGTATGGTCGCTGCTGCAGTTCGGATCGAAGCTCTTGTTTATTTGGTCTGAACAGACAAGAGTACAGACAGGACCAAGGCTTCAGGGAGCAAATTCCCTGTGAACAAGCCGCTTGCAAATCTCAGGGTCTTGTCATCCAAATTCCGCTCTTGGACCTGCAGTTCACCTTGCAGCATGGAAACAGGCCCTGAAAGCTGGAGGGACAAAAGGTTAAAGAGCCTTCCCTTTCACCTTAGGCAAATACGCAAGAAGTACTTGGACAAGAACAGTATGTCAGGAGTGCAGCTGGAAAGAGGGACAGCTGTTTGTTTTTTATCCTCCCCCAGAGTACAATCTATTTAAATATTTACATGGTGTCTTGCTAAAAGGCTTCCTTTCCTATACTTTTCTGGTTTACTATTAAGTTATGAATGGGGGAGAGGGAGAGATTTGTAACTGGTAATTCTTCCACTTTGAGAAAGTGTATCTATTTTATTTACTGAGAGAAATATGGCAGTAGTGCTTTTTAAACAGATTTAAATGATCTCAGTGAGGCTTGTGCTTTGCCACTGAATATAATTTTTTCTTCATGTACTTTATATATTTTATAATCTTAATAGGCTATCTGAACATACAGTAAAAATAGGAAATTTCAGACAATACAACCTTTAAGAGAAAGCAGTGGAACACTAATATGTAGTTAATTACAGAAGATTAATAATATAGATAATAACATACAGCACTTGTAAATGCAGGAATTATATATTCAGTATCTTAAAATCAGTTATGAATAGCCAGTAGGTCCTTCATTGATGAACACATTAGTTCTAGCCTTGGTCACCCCCTGTGTGTTTGTTCTGCATAGACTCGCCTACTAGGTCATAGCATCTAAAATGGTGAAACTATTCATGGCATCTGTTTGTGTTAATTTACAGAATCAGTGGTATTTAATGATGTGAAACATCTTGGATTTCAAAGCTCTTGCAGGGATGGGAAAAGTAAAACCAGAGCTCCTTAGGGTCCAGAGGAAAGACTTCAGCAAGTGGTTAGTATTACATATAGGAAATGTTGATTTAAAATCAACAGATCATAGGAGACACTATGGTTAAAGATGTCTGTAGTGTTTGTCGGGCTGAGGCCTTGATCATTACTTACATGTCAAAATTAAAGGTATTTAACTTCAACGTAAGATGCGTTGTACAAGGAATGTATTTTGCACACCATACAGACTTTCAAGACACATTTTGAAGGTAATTTAGCATGAGAAAGAGTCTATTTAATTTGATAGTAGTATTTCATGTTGTCTTTTCATAGTCCTAATTTTGTCAGATGTGTAACTGATATACAAGAGCTGTTTGTTTTTGAAGAGTGCTATGCATGTACCCTAGATAGCCTTTGAAGAGTGAAAACTCACCCTTGAAGTGATTGACAGAACCCTGCAAGGCTTTACCAAGGCTGGTACAAAAGTTTGCAGCCCAGTAATCATTATTTTGGAAGCAATCCTTACTCTGTTCTGTAATTAGACATATAATCCTCTCGACAAAGACAGTAGCAAAAGTTGAAATTACAAATTAAGCAGAAAGTGTATTTTAGCATATGTAGGTTCAGGTGCAGGAAAGCCTGTAAGTATGTGCCTCATTTTAAGTTGCTGTACACGTGATGGTGTGATCTAAATCTCAAACAGAGTTACATTTTAGTTAGTAGCCAGAACTCTTCTTCAGTCTGGACAAGACCTGCAGTTGTATGTTGAAATGACTTTGGCAACTACAAATCCCAGGGAGCATTGCCTTTAGCAGGTTTGTGCAACCAGATTGGCATCCTGCAGGGACCAATGGCAAGCCGAGGATTCAAGAAAATTCATGTGTGTCAGCTGCCGGTATTAAAAGTCACTGGAGAGAGCTGCAGACCTAGGTGGAAGCTGCGTGATTCTCTGGGTTACTTGTAAACCTTTGCGTGAGCTTTGTAGTGATACTCTGTTTTACACCCTCTGTGCCTCAGTTGAAAAAGCCGTCTGGACTAGTCCAAATGGATGCAATTCTGAACTGCAGACCGAATGACTTGGAAGATTATTACGATTTGCTAGGATGTGATGAACTGTCTACGGTAAGAGCCTTCCCCACCTCCCCTCCCAGCTAATATTTTGAGTGTGCTTATTTATCTACAGGGGAGATTTGGAGTTGTTTACGTCTGCAGACAGGACTATCTCAAATGTATTGTGAACCTTCTTTCTTGTTGCTTTTAGTATCTCCCTTTGTAAAGCTCAATTTTCTGATCTGTATACCGATGTTAAGATCCTAGAATAAAGCTCATATTAAAAGTGTCCTATAAAGCTGGATTGTTTTATAGCTGAAATAATAGTTTATTCATTAGTTTAGTTCAGCATGTGATATGGTTATGAATCATAAGCCAACTGCTTAAATTTGACAACATTCAAATAATGTATTTTTTTAATATAAAGGATGAAAAAAGCTATTTCTATGCAACTAATACAATGAATGTTCATAGGTGTAGGTAATTGATAATGCTATTGAGTTTCTCAGGTTATATACATAATTTTAAAAATATTCATTGGTTGGGTAAAACAATAGTATCTTTCATTCATCGTATTAGTAATTAATAAATGCTAATTTCAGTCACATTCAAATACTAGTTTTACTAGTTTGTTTTGGTAGCAGATACATACTTCATAATGAGATCTAGCTAAGCAACTGTTGAACATTTTGTTGCTAAAACAAGTGGGTTTTTTTTTCTCGAAGGTGCCCATAAAATCTTTTTGATAGTCTAAGATAGTGGTATGCTAGTATTTTTTGATCTAGTTGTTATATTAACTGAAATCTGTGTTTCAAGTTTGGAATTTTGGAAAAGGAGTTTTGATTAATGATGGATGTATTCAATGTGGGTAAAAGCTGTATTTTTCCCAGAAAATTTAATCTGATGCTCTCATCTGTCGTAGTGGTCAAATGCTGCTAAAATACCTCTGTCATTTCTGTCACCAAAAGCATACTAACGAGCATCTTCGATCTGTACGGAAGGCAATTTAAAGATTTTTCTGAGATAACTCCTAAAAAGTCATCCCAGCAGAGGGCGGCGTTAAAGTTTCCGCGGAGACTTGTCTGCAGATGCTATTTCTTTATTTTCTACCTCGCACTAATTCCTTAAGGGCTTAGCAGTTAATGAGTAGTTCAAGTACATGTGATAATGATTTTTCAAATTGCTTAAAATTAAATTAAAAAGATGGAATAAATGCTAGTGGGTCCTGAAAAATAATGTTAAGTATTATTTGTTAAGAGAAGCAGCAGATGTTACTGAATTATTTGTGACATGGGAGTAGGAATTCGGATCATGAGTTGACTGAATACCACGATTGCCTTCCTTCAGGATGGTGCACACTACTTGTAACATCTAACAGAAATTTGACGCATTACAGGTGTTTTGCAGTCACATTACTTTGCATACGCAGTCAAGTATTTGTAGCAGCACAGGCTTCTTTAGGCACATACAGCATATTCCCAGCTGAGTACTTTCATCTGAGCTGCTGAATATTCTGGTCTTCATCTGACCTGGTTAAATTTAAGCACAAATAGTGTCAATTCCTAAAGATTTTTCCCTGTGTTGAAGTAAACATCCATGCTCATCCTTCTTGTAGAATTGAGCTCAGGAACACCTAGTTCACGTTCTGACTTGAGAGGAACAGGAGAGATTTAAGCTACATCCTTCTTCCATGAACAGTGTTATTAATATATAGTGGGTATTAGATACCTTTCCTGGTAAAACACCTCACTGAATCTTTTATATAAATTTCTTAGGTTTTGTATAAACTTTTATTTCTGCTGATTTCTTTAACTGAAGGCATCCACACTACACCTCTGCTATTGCACATATTTTAAGTTCCCCTTTATATAACTAAGATTTTGTGTGTACTAAAGCTTGTAATAATTAATAGGAAAGAATTTTTCAGCATTCTCTGTTGTTTCTCCCAAGCCCTTTCAAAAGGCAGATTTGAAAATAGTTTCTGTGTGTATGTGTTTACTCACTTAAAGTCTCAACATCCTGTTTAGGTCGAACAGATTCTTGCAGAATTTAAGATCAAAGCCCTTGAATGTCACCCTGACAAACATCCTGGAAACCCCAAAGCAGGTATGTATTCTTCCCCCTTAAAAACAATCTATTTTCTGTTTTCTTATTGTAACATGACTAAGATGTTGAATTCAGCTTTAGAACTTTATGAAGTATTATTTTTTCCCCAATATAATTTATCAGGTGTATTGAGCATATTGTTTTTAAATAGCAAAGTTTAATATTAACTTCTAACACTTGCACACTCCTAGACACTAGAGCAGGAAGACACTTTTTGAATTTGTTTTTTTTCCCCTAGGACTTTAACATTTTTTTTCTTTCTGTGGTAGAACATCTTTTAATCTAGAAATTATTTATGGTATGTATCCTTTCCCAATCCTAGGAAGTTGGCTTGCTTCCATGCTCGGTGGCATTCAAGTGCCATACTGGCGTCAACTAGTTAATTTGCTTCCATGAACAAGCCATCAGGAACACATTAAATGTACTTTAGTTTCTTTTAATGTAACTTAATGACTGGAAATAAAGAGAAACCAGCACCAGATGAGTAGCCATCTGTTTGCAGAACAGCAGCTAACATTATTTTTATGAAAACGTGCAGTTCATCATACATGTGACAGCTAAGCAGCACCTGAGTTATTTGGAGGCAATCTTACTGATTCATAACCACAAGATAGCTCTAATCAGTGCTCACCAATATCTGAGTAGTTTATATTCTTATAGTGAAGGTTGTTCTGGTCGTATTTATGATCCCCACCAAAAATTTGATGTAGAATAATTAAATATACTTCTAATTTTGATTAATGCATAAAAGTTTTCCTTTGGATTCTTCCTATTACTTTACCTATAAGCTGAACAACATATGCATAAACTGAACATCATAGTTTACCTACTTGTTTGAGTTTGACTTCATCCACACTCTCCTCTGAAGCTGCAGAGCTGGGAATATAGTAGATGTTAATTGAGACTCGTGCTCCAATGCCTCAAGCAGAGCTCTCAGCAGGGCTTGGCTTACCTTACTGATGTGCTATCCTAGCCTAGAATCAGAGAGCTGATGCGGTGGGGAGGTTAAAGGGTGAAATAGGTGGGGGTTTTCATTTTCAGACTCACTTACAAGGAAACCCTGAGATTGGTGTCTAAGAGGCTATCTACCACCTATTAACAGTAACCTGGTAAATAATCATTTATTATAAATGATTGCACCAGTGCTAAGGAAACCAATGTAATCAACTTTGTTGGCTGGAAATTCTGGCTATTGCAGGAGGAAATGAGAGACTGTTCCAGTGCCTGGTCCTGTTCTGTTTGCACCACCCCACTGTCCATGTGGTTCACACCATCACCACCCCAATTAATTGAAGTGAAAAGAAGGAGGCCAAGTGACAAATGTTGGAGCAGCCTTGTTTGACAAGAAGAAAAATTTTATGCTCCATTTACCTGAACATGCTGTATTTATTTGAAATAACTTTTTACAGTACTAGTGAAAGTTTACTTTTTTATTTAGTCATCTTAAAGTCCAGTAAAGAGTAATTAAACCAGACCTTTTATTTGTTGAAAATTAACACTAGAAGAAGGAAACCTAATAGAACTGCCCCCTCAACCTGTTCTTTGATTTATAGTTATCAATTTTGATTAGTGTTTGGGCTTAGTGTATTTCAAAGAAATCTCTCTAATTTGTAAATTGGAATAAATGAATAGTAATAATAATAGATCACTGTAACACAGGTGACTCAGATAAAATCTAAATCTTTATAGCCCTTCTACAAATAGTAACATGCAGCTGCATCCTTAGTAACCATTTAATGAAAAATTACCCTATAGGGAAAAAAAAAGAGCTCTTATTCATGCAGCCTGGTATTCAAGACATTTTAGTATATGTAGAAAACATACCTAATAAAATGCACAAGTTACTTATATTTAGATTCCTCTTCTTGTTTGTCAATTTTTGCTTGTGTGTTGTGTCCCATCCCATTCCCCCCGCTTATGTTTTCTTGGTGGTGTGCTTTGCTCTAACTTCCTTGCTGCTGTCGATGTAAGCATGTTCCTTCTAAGCATTCTGACTAGTTTAATTTTCCTTTTAAAGGAAGTCTGCACGGGGCGACTTGTGCCTTTTGCCTGCTGTAAGTTTCTCTGAACTTTAAATTTAGGAGATTTTGAAGCAGGTAGACAAATGAGCATTTTAGTCCTCATTTGAAAAGGTTATCAGTTGTCCACCACAGGTGCTATGATCCTAAAGTCAGCTAAACTCTGCAAAGCTGTAAGCAGAACAACCACATACATATGTTTGTGATTTAGTTCTACCTCCTTTACTCTGCTTGCTTTAAGCCTTTGCTGGCAGATCTCCTTTCACATCTGAATTAATTTACTTGAAAAGAAATACTGGCTTCAGTATAATTTTGGGTTTTGTTCTAGTGGAGAATTTCCAGAAGCTGCAGCAAGCTAAGGAGATTCTTACTAATGAAGAGAGTCGTGCGCATTACGATTACTGGCGGCGAAGCAAAATTACCATTCCGTTCCAGCAATGGGAGGCCTTGAGCAATTCTGTGAAAACGGTTGGTGGTGTCTAAGTTTGGGCCTTCAGGAGCAGAAGGAGACAGGGCAGGTCCAGAGAAAATGTGGGCGTGAGCAGGGGGATGAGTTACAACACTTCAGGGTTAAGGAACTTGAGGGTTGCTTTCAAACACCTCAGCACAGTTTGCCTTTGTGGGAACCTCTTAGTATTTTCAAAGTTAGATTAAATCTAGAATCTTTGTATAATATATTCTCCTTTTGGTATGTTGCTTATCAGATAGGTTTTCATGCTATCTGATGAAATAAAGAGCTCACTGAAAAATCTAGGTTGCTTGGAACCCTGGGCTTCACACAGGTCTTCAGAGGGGCCCTGATAGGCTAGTGGAGTGATTTGTGACAGAGACAAGTGTTCTGAGGGTTGTTTTGCCTCCTAATTCTGTTAGTGAATTAATTTGGTAGCATATTCTTAGTAGATCCTAATTCTATAATATTTGATCCCCCCCCCACCCCCCCCCGATGGTGAATGATAGTTACAAGTCTACATGGTCATGTTTTAGGGCAGGTGAATAAATAGTTCCATTGCCAATTCTGCCCACCTCAATTCTGCTTACGAGAGAAGCTTGAGAGCCTCTTCAACTAAAGCATTATGCCTAAGTTTAAATGCTTGCTGAAAGTATCCTATGGAGCTTAGTTCAGTTCCAAGTGGAAGTAATTTCACAGACTTCGATAGTGAATCTTTCCATATCATCTTGTTTTCAAAAGGCACCTTGAAGTCAAAGACAACTTGGACACTTCCTAAGTCACTCAAGCCCTCTTTAAAAAGCCAGACGCTTTTTAAAGCCAAGACATGAGAGAAGAAATTGGTCAAAAGACCTTTAGAATTATTTGGTGCACTTGTACTTTGTTCTTCATCCCCTGACATAAACTATCCTCTCAAATGCTGTTTCTATAATTAGCCATGCTATTGACCTGCAAGCTTCTCTGTAATGCGTGGTTTGTTTAACCATGTATTACAACAATGTAAAAAAGAAAAGAGAAGTTCACTAAAAATCTTTTAAAGCATAGTAGTTTGTTCTTTATTTGTAATTTTTGCATTTCTTTAGTCAATGCATTGGGCTGTCCAAAATAAGAAGGACCAAATGCTGGAAGCTCCAGAGTTGAATAATAGCAACAACGTAACTAGTGAGATTTGGACCCAAAAGACTGAAAACGATGAAGATGGATTGTCAGATGGGAACAGGGAGCAAGATGATGTTGCAATTCCTGATGGGAAACCACGGTCTTCAAAGAATCCAGACTCCCCAAGTAAGTGAAACCAGAAGTTACAGAATAGGCATTATCCAGGATTTGGCACGAAAAGCAGGCTTTGTCATGAGAAATTCTTCTCCAGAATAATATGTTTAACTGGTAGCTTTTTTAATGTGGGTTTGGATTGGGATTTTGTTTTGGGTTTTATGTTGTTTATAATAAATTTAACTTTGAAGCTTTCAGACCTTTCTTCTTCCCTACCCCATGTTTGCTTGCTTGTTTGCTAGCTAGTAAACCCTGAAACTGGAGAAGTAGAAAATTCTTCTTAAACCAAAATGGAAAGTTCAGTTTTGCTGCTATATCAAAATTAAAAGAAAAAAAGGGGAGGGGCCCAATCATTTTCAGTGATTTTATTTAAAATAACTTTAAAAACTGTTAAATAAAATTTTACTTCTTTTTATGCATCATTCAGTATTTCTGCACAGTTTGCATCTGATGAGTTAATGAAGACTAAAAATTGAAACTTGAAGGTTTCTTTTGTATTTGAACGGTTTGTTTTTAAACAGTGCATGCACCAGAATAAATGTGTAGTTCAAAAGCTGTCATTTGACCAGTTAGTATTTCCTGCCTGCTGCTTAGGTTTGGATGCTTGAATCAAAGTTCACTTACCAAAGTGGCCACCCTCTGTTCTGCTTGATTCTTCAGGGGTTTATGATCTTAGGCTTATGTTATCAGAGAACTATTATTAAACAAAGTCCTGTCATTTCTTTCCAGCTTGATCAAACAGGAAATTATGTTGAACTGTGAGGATAGCAAAACCTAATTGAATCCCAAACATTTGTGGAATGCAGAAAATAGATAAGAAAATTGTACAAATGTATGTGAGGCACAACTGAAACTTTTATATTTAAAAAATATGCTTTATAACATTATGCTATTGGCTATTTTTTGGTAATTAAATTGTTAATGTATTTGTAGAATAATAAAATTTCAAAGTAAAGAAACCATCATCTCATTCCTTGTAATGGTGATCTTTCTTTGCAGACATCTTCTTTCTCATGTTTTTTAAATTATAATTTAATTTCCAGAGATCTGACTGGAAAAATATCAAACCCATCAAATGCCTACTTAATTTATCCAGTAGGCGTATATTTATATTAATAAGTGTTAAAATATATTTGACAAGGCATGTATGCACTTCAGCATTCATACTTGTTGTTAGGACATTGATAATGGTTTTATCTTGGTCTGGGAAAATTTATTATATAGGATTCCACTTTTAAACTGGGATATTTTCAGTTCCTATCTGCTTGTTTGTAAGAATTATGGACTACAAGCCCATATAACTATTTCAGCCTGAGTAAGAGATTTTAACACAAGATTTGGTAATAGGTTTCAGCTTCCTAATACGGAAGGATCACATTTTGGCACTGACAGGCCGTAAATCATACAAACTTTGCACAGAATCTGAAAAACTTTTACTCCCTTTTGTGTGGAAAGAGCCATCTGTGGCTTTCCTCCTCACTGCTGCCTTTCATGTACTTGGAGATTCAACATGTCACTCTCTATCCCTTCTTCTTTAGATTAGGCAAATGCAGATTCAACATGTCACTCTCTATCCCTTCTTCTTTAGATTAGGCAAATGCAATTTGTTCAGTTTTTCTTTGTAAGTCCTCTTTTTCTGGATAGCCATTATTTTTTTGATGTTCTCCTTTAGACTCTTTCCAGCTGATGTGTATCTTGAAGATCGGTGTTGGCTTGAGTTCTTGTTCAAATAGTGCCAGGAATACAGAGGTTGTCCCTGCTGTCCCTGGAAGTAACCATTCTTTTACTTTTTTTCTTGGGAAGATTATAGAGTATTACTTCAGACAGCTTAGTTTTAAAATGCTTATAATAATGTACTTGTCGTTCTCTTTTTATCTCAGGATTTTCAGAGGCAAATTACTGGCACTTGCGTTTCCGCTGGTCAGGGGATGCTCCATCAGAGCTTCTGAGGAAATTCAGAAACTATGAGATCTAAAAGTACGCGTGAGATCATCTGTTCAACAATTCAGTATTTTTTTTTGTCAGCAGTTATAAGTTATTTGTATTTTGTATTCATGCATTGTGATGTGAACATTGAATAAATGTCTTAATACTGGTTTGCTCACACACATGATATGAGCATTACAGGTGGAGGTCTTTTTGTTTAATGAGCAAACTTTAATAAGCGAAGGCCTTTTCAGTATTAACATAAAGTAATTTTGTGAAGTTATCTAACATCCTATATATTATTTCTTGTACTCTTAAATATTGTGTAGTGGATAATATTTTCCTTAATACTGTGATGTTATAAAGAACGTACTCTCGGTAGAATCAGAAATCAATGTTAGACTCCAGCAAATCATCCTGTTGAGTAATTATCTGCCAAAAGCCATATGACAATGAGCTTTAAACAAAACTGTGGTTATTTCTAAACTATGTACTCTGGTTCACTTCTCCATTGCATTGTTCTTCCTATAGTGATTTATAATGCACATGTACTCAATACTATTACAAACTTAATTTGTTGAAGAATTGTGATCTTATGATATGAATTAAAAAAGAAGGTTCTTATTATCCAGGAATGTCACTGTGATAGATCAAGCACTCCTAGAAATCTCTTGACTTTCTATCTTAACAAGTATAGTTTTTGCACCAGGTGTTTATTGTGGTAGGCAGTTTCTGAACTTCACTGCTCCAGTTAGCAACTTTCTTCTTAAGATTTACTGGTGGACAACTAATAACCCTGGTGTGTGTGCCAGCATTGGCCTGCCTGAACCTAGAGACCATTTCTCACACTACAGCTTAATAGTAATTTCCCTCCTGGTTCTGGCTGGGTAGATGGGGTCTTATCAAGGTTTTTGTATGGCAAAGAATGAAGAATCAGGCCAGTCAGCCTGTGTTTTACATAATAATGTGTTTTCCATATTTTGGCCAACTTTTTATATTCTGCATTGTGTTTATTTTCTTCTTTGTAAACCCAGATAACATGTCAGGTATTGACATTGTGTTTTTGTGCAGGCAAGTAATTCCATCAGCAACAAATAAAATGCATGCGTACAGAAAGGGGTGGGTTTCATTTGGTTT